CGTTGGGGGGCAAACTGCGAGTGTGTACTGTGCTTACTGATCCATAACTGTCATGTGTGTGCGTTTGTGTGAATTTGTCTCTCACTCCAAAACAAAACACATTTCGAGGATGTTCAAGAACACAGCGCTGTGGCGAATATATGGAAATTATAGTGTTCTAGGCTTCACATAATATTGTTAAGATTATTAAATCGATTAGGATAAGAAGGTGGGCCTCACAGTAAAAATGGGAAAGTGAGAAATGTATACAACTTTTTGGTAGGGAAAATCTCACAACTGTACACCCCCTACCCATATAATTTTCCTTGAATTGATAACCGTAATAGTACGTTGTTCAAGAGTGAAGATTTTAACATTCATAATTCTTCTTGTAACGTCCTCTATTTTCCATCTCCAAACATTCCCTTCCGTATCCTCAATCTTTGTCTTTCACCAAAGCAATATACATTACAAAGTATAAATTTAATTATAAACAAATCTAACCATGTTCCTTACGTTTCTCTTTTTCAGACTATACTGACACATATTTCAGGTAAAAGCTGGACAAATCTTATCAGCTCCACATTTTATGTCATATAGGTATTTTTTGGAAGACGATCCATTTTTAAAAAGTTTAAAATATTTTAAATATATGTAAAGTAAAAGGTAAGTCGACCACGATAAACGAAAACTAATTTTTCTCCTTCAAAAATCGTTCTAACACCGTAAAAATGTCTGGTTTCCTTGACATAAGAGAAATCCTGTCATCTTCTTATAGTGTGCCCTGTTGTACAGACTCCTGACATCTTGACCTGCGGCAAAGCAATGCCACTGTTCACACAATATTCACTTCTCCTACCCCTTTAATGGAGATGAGCGGTTTGCAGCCCAACAACTCCCAGGGCGTGAATGAACTTTGATTGAGTACACAGCTGTTTGTGTAATTTGGTCTTGGAACACGCATCTCGTTATCAGCGTCCACCCGACGTCATCGTGAGGAGAATATTAATTTCAGGCCCCTGCGGTAGTGCTGCTAACTTCGCGATACACTTAAATCCCAAAGAGCTTTACTGCAAGAATAAAATCCCAACATGGGGTCCTATTTCATACTACACGTCATTCATAACACGGAAAATTTTAAAAAGTGGAAATGTTGCGATATTTGAGGTTCTCAAGACAGTGAAGGTGTCGGTTGATCTTCTGGGTAGTAAAACCGTGTCGACTTGTACGTAGATAACGTTTCGGAGGAACATACTGCCTCCTCATTCAGCCCTAAAGATGGAGGCGTATGTTCTTCCAACACGGTGGTGGTGTCTACGTACAAAGTTCACACGGTTTTACTACCCAGAAGACCAACATCGAAACTGAATGCTGGGTCGGCAACAAATTCAAATCTTCATACTGCGATTAAATTTGACAATGTCCGTCGGAAATCATTCCCCGTAAAATAATTATCAAAATGACAACCAGTCACCAGACGGATGAAGAGC